CTTCTGCTTGTTTTTCAGTCAAGACAATGGAACATTTACTATGATTGGATATTGTTAGGTGAAAATTCATAGCACAGTGACTGGCGGTGCAGCTTGAGCTTTGCAGACAGTATGCAAATCAGCCGAAAAAAATAACAATATGATTTCTTTCTAAATTCTATTAAATCTACTTACATATATTTTGTTTTAGCTATGCGTAGCTACAGTGACCAAATCCTTCCCTCTACTGACATTAACATAGACAGGAACATGGGCAAAAAGGATAATAATGAACAGAAGCGACAAAACCGTAATTTGAAGGTCGTGAATAAGGATGAAAAATCAGATAGAGAAACAAGTAGTATTATGGTTCTTCGTCCTTCGCCATCGCCACGAGCTAAGCTGATTGGAACCATAACAGAACCATCGAAAAGACGAACAAGGCAAACCCAGAAAACTTCAAGCAGGTGTGTATATATTGTTGTAGTACTTATAATATAGCATCTTTGCTAGCTAAAAGTTCATTTATTCAGAAAGTTTAAAGCTAGCTATATGGTAAGGTACGGTCTGCACATATTACGGTATTTATGTACTATCAGACATTATGATTTAAAAATTAGGGTGTTTGGGAAAACAGTCAAAATCAAGATCTTCATCATTAACCTCACTGTTGAGTGTTTTCCATCTTATATTAACTCTAAGGGTTTCTCCCACTACAATATAACACCCAGTGTCATAGCTCTAACTTCTTAGCACTCCAATAGGTGATTTTCCGTACAATTGCGAGATCTCGCGAGATGCATGAAAGACGCGCTTCGGACATCTGCCGCAAAAATCGAACAATTTGATTTTGAACTCGAATTTCTTTATTTCGTAGCTCACATCGACCGGCCGATCTTCGACAGAGGAATATTGCTTCCGAATACCCTTACTTAATCGAAATTGCCTATCATCAAATGTGGACAGCACATTATTAAGCATGGAAATGTCCCCAAAATACTTTCGCGTTTGTCGAATCCCACGCGATGTTTGACGCCACTACGACGCTATGACCTTTGTTTGTCCTGTTTTTACGTTCGATTTCACGCATAACACGTGATTCTCGCAGTGTACAGAAAATGGTCTATTACAACTGCACTATGATCTTCAAAAACATGTCAGTGTAATGGCCCTTTAAATTATTTTACCAATGACTAGCCTCACTCTCAGAGTGCATATTCATACCATTAAATATTTTACATAGTACCGGTAGTCCAAAGGCCCCAATACAGCTATAGGAATAATCTCAGACTTTAGTAATATGTAAAAAAAATAAAATAAAAAAAAAATATCTAGGTTGCCGTGTGACCTAAAAAAATCTGGACTGGTGACAAATTTGACTAACAATTTTGTACTTCGCAACTAAATTTTGCAGTTCACCACTAACAATTTGAACTTGATTGCCAATGGCCACTAAAAAAAAAATAAAACTTTGAGGGCTAATTGGTGTTTCTGCATAGCTTATCATGTACTGTAAAACAGAATATATTCTGGCGACCAACAAGTTTGTGTTTTGTTATAAATTTACCAAACTGGACTGTATTAGTGCCCATACCCAGTCAACCCAACCCCCCCCCCCCCCATTTTTGCACAAATTTTTATATACAGGGTCACATTCGGCAAAGCGCCCACCCCTTCAAAATGCGAATAATTTAAAAATAGGTCTTTGATAATTGCTTTACGAATACAGGTAATTGTTGTTATATGATACAGCGTGGATATTGAATATGTTGTGAATGCTAAGACCA